TATAAATGTGATTGAAAAATTATAAGAACCACTAAGTGAGTCACTAAGCTGTTTGGATAGTTAAATTACAATATACTAACATTTTTAAACTTGTGATATCTTTCGAATGGAATGTCCGAATTTAATAATTCGAAAAGTAATATAAAGCTATTGAAACAGTCTTTAATATGAAGTAATTTATTTTTATAAGGATTAATACCAAAATACAAATAAAGAGCCTTTTCTAGCGGCGACATTTCAAACAAATTTTTAAAATAAAAGAACACTTATTGTGGCATAACTATAATAGTTAGACATATGCTCTCGCGACACTTTTTGGAAATAATGATGTGTTCTGCAAATTCATAGTACATTATTTCATTCTATCATCAATAGTTTTCGCAGCGCACGCGATGTAGAGAATATTTTAGGTAATTTTTGTACACTTTGGGTTACATTATTGAAGTTTTAGTAAGGATCCCTATTTTTTTGAAAATATAATATAGCCTATATCAAGCGGGAATAATGTAGCTTCCCAACAGTGAAAGAATTTTTCAAATCGGTTCAGTAGTTTCGGAGCCTATTCAATACATACAAACAATCAAATCTTTCCTCTTTATAATATAGATGTATAGAGTCTAGTACGGCTAGGATGCGAGTCGCTTTCGTTTATAAGAAAGTCCTCGGTGTCTCAAAAGTCATGCACTGGAGAAAGGCGTCCTTTTAAATTTCAACAGCGAGCGAAACAAAGGATTAAATACCCGGACAAGATCGCGTTTCTGAATATGTCGCAAACGTTCGTAGTTAAGTATGCAACCTTTTCCAAGTAATACTTGTGAAGGGTGACTGTTTAATGAAAAGACGTCACATGGTATTTCTCATTACGAAAGAGATGCTATACCAAGTTTTCGTGTACTAAAAATCATAATTTCGAGTGTGTAAGAAGCTAACTTATTGGAGTGTCGTTTTTTTAAGAAACACAAGTAGAGTCAATTGCCGGATTGGGTCCATTAAATTTGGCCATTTTCAACATGCACAATGGTAAAGGAAACATCTTTTTGTAGAGAAACATGAAAATTAATATAGATCTCTAATAATGTATTAAGTCGAAATAACAAAGTTATCGTTTATTTATTTTAGTTTAGTTTCTTATTGTTATTAGTTCCAGGAAACGAAGACCCAAATTAACTTTCGGATCTTCGTTTACTGGAATACTGTTTACACAACATTCGTATAATAACCGACCGAAACACACGTCGAAGTAACGTGTCGTTAAATTTTGCCACAAGGTTACGCACCTTTCACAATTTTAACGCACCGAAGGTTTTCACGCTTGTTCGGATTACCTTTAATTGGCGAGTGAGTACAGCAGAGCCGCGCAGAACTGCAGCGGTCATTGCGTACGGTTGTATCGTCTGACAGTTGTCTGCAGGTGAGATAGAGAGAGAAAGAGGATACGACCAAGGTCGCACAAATTGCGTAAGCGACAACATTTTAATTCTCATCTTCAGACTTTAAGCGTAAAGGTTGTTGATCGATCAGGTGACCCTGGATCGATATTGCTTTTAAGAAACAAAAGTAAAAATGCAACTATCGAGGTACGAAAAGGTAGACAAATTAGAACTAAATATAAGTGGAAAACGACAAGTAAACGACAAGATTTTCGTCGCTGTGGCTATCAGCTGTTTAGCTCAGTGGCTAGAGCGTCAGGCCGCGAATGCCGAAGACGTGGGTTCGATTCCCACAGCGGCGACAATCTTTTCGTACTTTTTCTACATGTTTTAATGTTCAATCTTAAGTGCAGAGATTAGCACTATAAAAAACTTTAAAAAAAAACGACAAGTAAGTCATCCGGTATTCGGCGATAAGTCTACCGTATCGCCATCCAACATCATCTGTATCGTGATAGCGTGGAGGAATCCAATCGTCAATTGCGATTGCGTCTGATCTAAATGTCATTGCACCGCATCAGTAAAGAGTCGTGCAGATAGTGAAGATTGTCTAAGATGCTTCGTTCTTAGAAAAGATGACATGTAGAATAAATGTCTTGTGTTATTACACACTCCTACCAGATACTGTTGTATTTCCTATCTACAAGTCCTTCCAGTGACCAAATTAATGACGCAAAGTTGAACGATCCTTAAAGTTTTATTTTGACTAATTTTACAGCAATTTTAAATCTTGTGGTTTTTTTGCCTTAACTTTAGGATACCATTATCCTGTGACGTAAGGCCGTTTTACAAATATTTCAATGTTTTCAAGTGGTAGGCAGCAGCCCCGGCTGTTACACGAATGGGCAGGCCCATCCGGGTAAGTACCACGACCTCACAGAAGACCAGCGTAAAGTGAAAGTGACAAATACTTTCGCGTTTCGGTGAGTGAGGTAGCCGGAGCCCAATTTTCAAAAGATTATCAACGCATCTGTAACCCTCGGGTGTAGCAGATGTCCATGGGCGGCGGGCATTCACTTAACATCAGGTGACCCGTTTGGCAACTTTTCGCATAAAAAAAAATCAATTTCACGTAAACCAACACCGAGATGCGAAACAACTATCTGTGGATCACACAATTAGTAGTCCCGTGGGAATCAAACCCGCGACCCCAAACGCCGTAGCCAATCTGTCACTGTATACAACTAAATTTGAATACGTAAATAAATGCGTGATAGAGTTCGTAACGAAGACATCCGCAGTAGAACCAAGGTAACCGACATAGCTCAGAGGATTAGCAAGCTGAAGTGGCGATGGGCCGGCCATAAAGCTCGTAGAACCGATAACCGTTGGCGAAGAAAGGTTCTCGAGTGGCAGCCTCGTACTGGCCATCGCAGTGTGGGACGACCCCCCACTAGATGGAGTGACGACCTGTGCAAATGTGCGGGAAGTCGATGGATGAAGGTGGCTCAGGATCGTACTTTATGGCAGTCTATGGGGGAGGCCTATGTTCAGCAGTGGACTCAAACAGGCTGAAATGATGATGGTGATGATGATGATAAAATTACTGCCACTCCGTTTATTAGCTATAGGAAGATAAATTTAAAAATTCTTATAAATTGACACTTCTTAGTAGAAAAGTCTCAATTGTTATTCTTTAATATTGTCTCTGACAATGAATTGATAATGAACAGTTGCCGACGCAGCCAAGCAGTTTCCGTCAACATCGGCTTGCGCAACGATCGACGAGAACTAATTACGGATTCATCAAATCGAGACAAATGATAATGCGCCGACGAGACAATCTCACGAGATGGTACCGTTAACCGTAATTGATTGGTCGTAAATGAAAGTTGCTGAGAGTTTTGTATACAGGTGCGTAAAGTTATTCGTACTTTTTTTCGCCTATCGACATTGGCAATCTTTAAATTAAGTGGATCCCGCCTACCTCACTCAGAAGACGAAACGCAGAAGTGTAACATTTCTACTTTACGCCGTCTTCTGTGAGGTCATGGTACTTACCCGGACGGACCTGCCCATTCGTGCAACAGTGAACACAGTGAACACTGACTACCACAGTAAAGTTTGGAGTAAAGTGACAAATAATGTGGACTTTAATTTAATTGTTAAAGTTTTAAATGCAAATTGTCGGTTTTTATGAAAACATGAAGTTTGTTTGAGAGTGTCTCATTAAACGTCCAGAGTCAATACAGCACAGGAAAGTTTTTATATTAGCGCTGTATAAACCTCGGAAATGCATAAACATAATTTAACAGAGTCTAGTGTCTAGAAGGCTTATAGACAAAAATAATAGGATCGTGATATTTTAGTTTCACAGGTTAAATTACCCGTAGTGTGAGTATTTTTTAATTATCTTCAAAAAATATCAAACACGGTATACGTTTAATGACGATTGTACTTTAAAAATTTCATGCAGAAAATATATTACAATATATTTCGAAAATTGAAAAAATTATGCATAAAGAAATACAAAAAGAAGTTTTTTTTTTTTTGTAATAAGGTTAATAGAGATAAGTACCTAACGCACATAATTGTCAAGTCAAGATCGGGTTAAGCCACTACCATGCACTTGTTGTCCGCTCGTTGCTGCATATTTGATGGCTAGTTGAGATTGCGAAATTTGAACATAAATGTTTATATAGTTTGGACTTTAATCTCGAGGATCACATTAAATAAAGAAATACTAATAATCTAGAAATACTATTGTTAGCGTGTTAGAGATTAAGGTCTGTTTAACAGCCTTCATTAGGCGTTACGTTTCTACAGCCTGTCGAAAACCGTTTTGTTGAACTTTTAAGCACGATAGATTACCGATAAACGCAAAACTCATATGTATGTTCTGGACCTAATTATTGTTTATGGTTAATCAGTGACTAGCGATTTGAATCTCAAGTTAACAATTATCTTGATTAAAATAAAAAAAAAACCGTTCTCAACTTGCAAAGAAAATTAACAATTAAAGATATCGATTGTCCGAAGTTTATCAGTTCCGTTGCAGGACTCGTCCCCCTTTGCCGTTTGTTTTTTTGCTGCCCGCTTGTTTTTTTTAAGGGTTTCATTACCGATTATGCCACTCTCATTGTGTTACCAATATTACAAAAAAAACAACAACAAAATAGGCTTTACAAAGATCGATTTGAACCCCCTCCCCCTTAGGAATAAGACGCATCTTATTCCTAAGTCAATAATCCTATTAAGTATCCTTGCAGAATCCGATGTTGGATTTGCAAGTACAGTATTACATACTCCAGTCTCGAAAAAATTAAGTCCTAAAAATTACAAAGATACTTTCCGGTTCGCAGATTCCATTATTGCATGGTATACATCTTCACTTATATTGCAGATTGTACTGTTCTGATATTGTACTAGTCCCAGTTCAAAAAGCGAATTTGTTCAAAGGATACGCCGAAAGCGAAGTCGGAGGGCAGTTATTGTTACGTAGTCATTATATTTATTACAAATACTATGAAGGTACCTCTGTAGTATAATTTTTTATCTTAAGTGAAGTGGCTAAGAATGGAATTAATTTTTCATTTAAATTAAGTTTAAGATTTTGTACCGGGTGCGAACATGCTTCGGGAACTATTGGTCTGGTTAGAATAATCAAAGTTACGTAAAGTTAAATATTATATAATATTTTGAATGTTTGTATAGAGCGACAAGTTCTGAAGTAGGTTACCTTCATAAAAATTGCAGCGAGTCGAGTGGGTCACGGGAATTCATAAAGGACGGGTCCTACGCCACACGACAGCTCAGGGTTGTCACGCGTAACACCACTCTGATTTACTTCTTAGAATATTAAATAATTTTAATATTCTAGACAATCATTACCGAGCTGCTTAGTAATTCAAATAATAAGAACGCCTCAAACGAAATCATTTTATTGTGAAAGAATATATTAGAAGTTGTACCATAGTAATGGCTATATTTTTATTAAAGTTAGTCATGTCGGCAAAAACTTAACAACAGTTGCCAACAAGATCTAATTTCATTTGCCATGAAACGTGATTGCAAAACACTGTGATTATTTATGGAATAGATTTATTAAAGTCAAAATCAAAACTTTCAGGTCCACCAATAAATGAACGTAGAATGGGGCAAATTCTATGTTCACTTTTAAAGTAAGTTTAGTAAGTTTTAAAAAAATGAGTCCAGAGAGTTAACACTGTAATTAGCTCAATGAATTGACATTCAACTTATGATAGATTAGGAACATAATCAGGCCGAATACCATCAGGCGCGGAGAAGGTCTCTCCGTCCACTACGCGTACAGCGATCCTAGCGGCAGCCCTAACTGGGTGCTATTGAACCGATCGCAGTTCTCCGCAGCGAACGCGCCAAGCGCCAAGCGCCGAGTCAAGATGTGGTCTCGGCTCCACTCGCCAGGACCTGCTTTACGGCCCCGTAAAACGCTGCCCGACCGCACACCGTTCGTCCGCGTCCGCAACGGCACAAATACGACCATAAAGACGACCATATAACTAGTGCGGGCGTCTTATTAATAGTCCAGACTCCGGTCCACTTCGATGGACTCATAGCGTTGAAAGATCTACGTTTTGATAAGTAATGATCCTAGTTGAACTAAACATTCCAACTAATACGTGTGTGTAATAAACATTATTCGATTATTCGATTAAATCCGTAGATTAGGTTATTTTCTAAATGTTAAGACAAGATAAACTATTATTTCCAATTTTCTTGCTTTTCATACTATTTTTTTGTTAACTCTTTTATCTTTTATTTTGAAACTATAGTTCATAAATTACTTTGGCAAAACATTACGAATACAGTACATTTACAGTGCAGTGCTGTAAAATATTATGAAGAAATAAAAGAAGTAACAAATTAATTTGATTTATAAAAATCTAGAGTTTTACTAGCAGTGATTGAACAAAAACTACGCAGGACATAAGGACATCGTTGAAATATCTTTCACGTCCATTTTAGACTTGATCGTTTTAACGTTTTAAATAGGCATTTTATCAAAAAGATTATTCGTTACTCACACACAAGAAACTTGTCAATATCAATTGAGTGGTTAAGCCCTGTAACGAGCAATACGTTATCGATAAACAAACAAAACACAATGTCTCAACTGTTTATCTTCGAAAACAAGAAATCCTTTTCGAGCGGATCACCCGAGGCACTTTGAGATAACCTCCAGCATTCGAGGACTGACAAAGTATCTGCTGCCGATACAAAGTAGCTACGAAGCCGATAAGGCGTCCTTGCCTTTCGAAGTGGTTTATATCGTTTACGGACATTTTAAGAAAAACAGCCAAAAGTTATGGACACAAACGATAATTGTTTGTAAATTAAATGTTTGGTATTACACACAGCATGTTTCTGTGGGAGCACACTGCTGATATAACATTTATTATTATTATTATATATACTTTATTGTACACCACAAAAAGTTTTATACAGTTCATGTAAAATAAATCTTAAAAGCTAGGTACAATAAGGCGGTCTTATCGCTAAAGAGCGATCTCTTCCAGACAACCTTAGGACAAGGAAAATAAACATTTACGTTTAGTGTAGGTACTATGTAGTATTGCGAGTAGTTAATATCTTACAAAGTGTGCACTTTTCCCATTCGATGGTGTCCAACTAGAATATCGCACCACTAAATGTTAACAAACAAACAGATAAACAAAGATACGTTTTAACGGTGCACGTTAAATAAGCAACCAGTCGTCTAGAGTGCAGAGTGCTAGACTCTAGAGACATGCTCGTTTGAATTTCATACGTATGCCTCTCACCGTAATCTCCATCACCTATTGAAGTTACAAGCATTTTGGCCAAACAATCGTTCCACTATCAAACGTATTGAGTTTAGACGTGATTAACTGCGTTTTGATTGTTTCAAGGTGGTTTACAGTCTATCAATTAGTTGTGAAATGGTTACACAGTGCATTAAGAACGAACGGTATAAGCGCATCCAAGGACTTTTGAGGCATACCATACGGCTTTTAAATAAAATGGTCATCATTTAATTTTGCAGCTATTTTTTTTCCATCCTGCAAATATTTATAGTTACAATACTGCAATAGTTTTGTTTCGAAGTCCGGTCCAATCACTAAGTGTATAATATTATGCGAGGAAAAGCTTTCAATTTTTTTTTAATTCACAGCGAATGAGAAATGTTTGCTTGCCTGCACGAAAAAAATAAAACAAAACAAAAGTTGCAACGGACGAATGAAACGCGACGGGCTAACTTTTTAATATTGAAATAGACACGACGGAGCAGGGTTGGAGGGATTCTTTCATGAAACTTTGCAACGACCCAAAAAGTTTGAAAAACTTGTTTAGATGTCTATGTTTAATTTATTTGCCTATATACATTGCAGTGTATTAAATAAAACCTTTAAAAATGCACTTATTACAATTTTCATTATTAAAATTCGACACATATAAAAGACTGAACGTCGCAGGTACTTATTAATCTACGTAACATTTCAAGTACATTTTAAATAGAAGAGAATACTACTTTTTTCAATAAACATTTTCAGTTTCTTTACGACAAAATTTTATTTTTAACGCTAGTTCCTGCAATCAAGATAAAACTTAAATTTTTATGTCATTGTGAAAAATTAATAAAAACCTTCAGCGATGTGGGATTCGAACCTGCGTATTCCAGTTTCGCACCCAGACGCTGCTCCTCATCTTGAGTGCAGAAACTAGCACTAAAAATAAAAATTAATCGTAAATAAACTTTGAGAGCAAATGCGACATTTTTCGTTACGACCGTGTTCACCGTTGAATATTCTCGAGGTGTTTTATGCTGCAAAGGATGCACAATAGATGGCGCCATGCATTGCGAAAAATGCAATAGAAAGGATGTAAATATATTTTGAGATTTTCGCGTCGTGACGTCATCGGCTGCTTTGCCTAGTTGGTAAAGCGCCTGGGCGCGAAACCAGAAGACGCAGGGTCGAATCCCGCAGCCGCCGTAACATTTTGTTCAGTTAATTTATCTACAAAAATTCACAATTTATAACATTTACACTTTTAACCTTTATATTATTTGGTAAGTGTTTCAATTGGAAAATTACGACACTATTAAGTAATGACAAATTACAGTTGAGAGACGAAATTTACATAATATGTTATTGCCAATAGCAAGTCATAGGAAAAAGGCGAGGAAAGTTGGGAAGAAATAATCAGATTACGTTCCGCTAATTTAACACGTTTCACGAGCCATAACATACGACTAAATGTGGAACGCGGCGAATGCCGAATTACACTCATTTAAACTGCAATGAAACACTATCCCTCATGAAATATGATTTACAATCGTGAATTTTGTGTGTACAAAACTGAGATAAATAATTGCCATTCCTCATAAAAATACAACAGAGTTGTACGAAATTAATTTGAAGGCCTTTTTTGCAGACCACTTAAATTCATATTTGAGATGTTATGTCATTGCCAATTGCAAATAAATATATTTGTAATTGTGTGTTTTTATGCTTCTGACAAATTGAAATGAATTGTCACCTGCTGTACTCAGTCGATAACAAAAGCAAATACAGAAAGCACGTTTTCAGCTCCGATTACCTACCGGTACGAGTGATTGATGAACGGTATGAAACGTTTAACTTTGTTATGAAACGTGCACACGGGGAGAGCTGACGTCCGTTGGTTTTCATAAGAATTCTAAACATAAACATGTCCAAAGCATCTTCGGAGTTCGGACGGAACGAGCTTAGCTAAACGAGCCAACGGAGGGTATGGGAGGGGGGGGGGGGTGTGAAACGGCGGAAGAACTCATCAACTTACGACCTAAATCCGTTTATAGTTACGCATACGATAGGACAATGCATCCAAGACGTAGGGTTTCCATGTAGAATACTATTAAACGTCGGACAGAAGTCCATAAACTAATATTAATAACAAGCAGCCCTAATCGCATAATTGTTCACTCGGTGCTCGGTGATGAGTGTCTACTTAAACAATTTCAAATAAAAATGAAAACGCTTTTCTAGACCTATTCAGTTTCGTTATTCGCTGTATTTGTAAAAACATGCATTACATTTAGGATTAAATGAAACTATGAACTAGTACCAAATATTGTGATATTATAGGTAAGTCACAGATTCTCCGGAGTTACTACGTTGGTGTGCTTGTTAAGCGATAGACTTCTGCGCCCTAGGTCTTGAGGCTCCCACAAAACTGTACTTGGATTACCTGCAGACTTACATATTATGAATAATATTTTCTAAACAAAATGCCATCATAATTGGCGATGGGTTGGTCAGATTTCGCTCAGATATTAGAATAGGCAAGTCCTTGAGTTTTTTTTACGTTATAAGGTGGCAAGCGATTTAGCGGTTCACCTGATATTAAGTGCTAACCGCCACCCATTGACATTTGCAACACCCGTAAGGTTGCAGATGCGTTGCCACCTTATAATAAAATGGGCCCCAGCTAGCTTACACACCAAACGTAACGCAGACGTCTAACAGAGCTCTCCCACAGACTGGTAAAGTTGACGATGAGTTAAGAGAATAGTTGATGAGAAAATGTCGCATTTATCTAACATTACCATTCAAATATTTTTAAGAACATAATATGAAAAGTGTGCCTAAAAGCAACACGAAGTATTTTTTATCTTCTGGTATAACTTGGTGACATTTTTCTTGTTTACTTCCGCAACCGCTGCAACCCTATACAAAGCCAATACACTGTTCCGAGAAGCGTCATAGCATTCGTCATATTTCACAACATCGCCGTTTTCCCATAACTCATCTGCACCGTTAAACCGACGCGTTATATTTTCCATCGCCACTGTTGATTTTAAAATGCGCGAGCTTTTAAAACTGAACGCGCCCTGCTTTAATGGCTTCCTTGAACTCTTGACAGCTGTCAAAATGGTTTAAAATGTAATATCGCAACCTGTGCCATATAACAATTATGAAGTTATAAATTAAAAAAATAAGAAGAATATGATTTTTCTTTGCAATTTTAGTATTAAATTTATGCATACTGCATACATTTAAATTAAATTTATGCATACTGCATAAATTTAATTGTAATATTACATAAATGAAAACATATTCTTATTATTTCAAGAAAGACTACAAGTGGGAGAACGTGGCAAACATGGGATGGTGCACATCACGTGGTGGTTTAGTTAAAATAACCACCCATGTATACCCCGAACTCCTTTTGAATTGCGATTTCATCTCTACCTTCTAGAAAAAGGCTTCGCTAATCACTTACTAAAGTTATACCAAACGTATAAAATGTAATTTACATTGTTCCCTCTTTAAAACCATCGCACTTCCCGGACAATCCTTCTCGTTTTGTGCTAAATGTACTTTACATTGACCCTCTTTAAAACCATCGCACTTCCCGGACAATCCTGTCTTTTGGTGTAACAGTAGCAACAGCTTTGAGGTGCTACCACGATAAAAATCTAATCGAATTTATTAATTGTATGTAGGTGCAATATTAAAATATCAATAAATTTTTC